GAGTGGTCAGAGAACCCAACAGGCAATATAGCACACTTTTTAAAAACATTCAAATGGTGCTTAAAACAATAAAAACCTGTCTAGCCTAGCCATTGATAAAAGGTTCTCCCTCGTGTGGACCCATGTGTACTGTCTGTGATGTGTGTGATGCTCTCTCCAGATGTCTGATAGACTATGTATTGCTATTAACTGTGTCATGGCTCTTTTGGATGCAGCATGAGGTTCCCTATGGTTCCTATCTAGCTCGTCATCCTGTGTGCAGTTAAAATCTCCCCCTAAAAATAAAAACTCTTCTGGTTCACACTCACTTAAAACAGCGCTGAGCTCGTTTAAAACCTGAACTCTGGCAGGACCTGAATTAGGAGCGTATACGTTGATAAAAACCAGATTAAAAAGCTCATAGTTGGCTCTCACCACCAGCAGTCTGCCCTTTACTCTTTCTTCCACTGTGTGTGACTTGGGGATAAAACCTTTAGCAAACAAGACTGCCACTCCTGCACTGGTGCTGCTAAGAGCACTTAAAACCACCTCCCCATCCCACTCTCTCCTCCAGTCCGTCCCGTTTAAAGTGTCACTGTGCGTTTCTTGTAGCATTGCTACATTTACTTTTTTTTATTTTAAAAGCTCATAAATACAAGCCCTCTTCCCCACATCCCTAGCTCCATTGACATTTAAAGTGCACACTTTAAAATCACTCATTAAAAAGGATGTGAGGAGAGACACATCGCTTAAGAACAACAAGTATGTTAAAACCATCATCCTAACTGCCGTGCATGACCTTTTCTTCTTCATTTAAAATCTCTCGCTGTAACTTCCCTTTCAGGACCTTCAAGCGATAAGACTCCTGCTCAGTAAAAAGATGCATCTGAGCTTTCACTGACTGTAAAAACAAGCTTTTGTCAGTAAAAAACTCTTCTATTTTTACTCCTCTTTTGTTTTTTGTTTCTTTAAGAAAAGCTTTGATTTGCTGCACTTTAAAAAACGGACTTTTAAGTTGTGAGACGGTGAGAGGCTGGCTGGCCTCACAGTCCTCTTCCTCAATTTCTTCATCTTCTTCATCCTCCTCATCCTCCTCCATCAATTCTTCCTCACTTTCCTCCTCCTCTGCCTCCTTCACCTCCTCCACCGTTTCCTCCTCTCTCTCTCCCTCCTCACTCACTGCCACCCTCTTGGCCTGAGAGACTTTCTCTTTTTGTTTTCTTTTCTTTGTACAAGCTTGAGCTTCAATGTTCTCTTCACTTGCAGCGGATGCAGAGAGTTCTACCGTCTCCACTGCTTCATTCGGGACAACCTTTTTCCCCACATCAACCAAAAGGTCACTTTTTTCATTATTTTTCTCATTAGTCTTTTTTTCCCCAGAGTTTTCCTTGTCCTGCTTAGGGAGCTCTGAACCCTCAGCCTTCTTTGGAGGCTTTGGGGGACCCTCAGCCTTCTTTGGAGGCTTTGAGGGACCCTCAATCTTCGTTGGGGGCTTTGGGGGACTCTCAGCTTGCTTTGAGGGACTCTCACCCAGCTTCGGGGGCCCCTCAGTGGGGTTTCCTGCAGCAGGAGTGTCTTTTTGATTTTTTTCCTGTTTTGTATTTTTTTCCTCCTCCTGTTTTTTATTTTGTTCCTCCTCCCCCTGCTTTTTATTTTTATTTTTTCCGGACACGCTCTGCCCAAGTGCCCCTCCTCCCCGCATTTGAAGCACTTGACAGGCCCCGAATACAAACATTACATAATTAAAATCATCCAACTTTAGACTTAGCAACCAAATTAAGTTCCTCGTCTCTTTTGCTCAAATCATGAGGACACTTCTCCTGTGAGACACAACATGTTTTAGCAGTGGAGATCTGCAGCCCGAGGACAGCTTCCTGATGGAAGACACTATCTTGCCGTACTTATGGCACATTTCCACTGCAGCGGGGTAGCCCCGTTTAAGCGTCCCTACGCGTCCTCGCTCAGGCCTCGGGCTGCTTTCGCTGGCCGTCCGAGGCAGTGGCGCATTTTCCATTACAGTTTAGGACCTGGGGTAGCAACGCCGTGTAGGCGGGGCGATCGGCTTTTTTTTTTGTTCACATTTCGAGTTGTTCCGTCGAGCTCCCGCTGGATTTGATCATCCCCAATGAGATGTAGGAACGTCGTCACCCCTCCTCGGTCGACCACGGTTTGCTTTTTCTTTGACGTTGCCATTTTTGTAGCTCCTCCGTTTACAAAAATGCTGTGTATAAAAATGCTGCAAGCTTGCTTCTAGATATATATGCGACGCTCGGGATGATCTCGTGCGCGATCTTGTGACGATTCTCTCTGACCAATCAGCAGTCGAGAGTGTTGACGTCACTAGTTCAGCCCTGGCCCTGGCCTGATAGAACCACGATTTTATGGGGCCGGAAAAGAGGGAAAATGTACCCGCTAGCCGGTGCCACGCTATATGGAAAGGCCACCAAAAACTGGCCTGGCTGCTTGAGGACGATTAAGGACGCTTAAACGGGACTACCCGCTGCAGTGGAAATGCGCCATTAGACAGCTCTCTCACCAGGAAGTCATCCCGTATGAACGGCGGGATATTCGAAATCATAACCCTTGTAGCAGGGGTGGTTAGTGGAGACACGGATATGAAAGTTTCATTCACAACGATCCCGGTCTCCACCACCTTGTTCGCTTTCCCTTCCGTGTCCACAAATATCACCACCCCGCCGTTCATCCGAGCCGCAGATCTAATGCTGCCGTGCCCCACTAATGCCCCCACAGCCAGGCTGCACTCCTCCACCGAGCACGGTGTCATCGGAGACATTTTAAAACCATGTTTGCGGCTCAGCCGGGCATAGTCCATGCCGCAACTGCGTCACACACACCCAAACCACGAGAAAACACCAACAATCAAACGTTTAAACCAGGCATCCTCAAACTACGGACTCCGGTCCGGATCCGGACCGAACCACCACTGTCTCCGGACTCTGAGCAAATTATACTTTTCATATGTATGATCTCTCTGTATTATATGTGAGACATCGCCACAACGCATTCGCAACGAGTCAAAATTCTCCGCTATGTCCACTGCAAACAGCGCTCTGCATGTCTGACTGTTCCACTGTGTTCCACCTGTGTGTGTCAACGCTTTGGTCCAATCACATTCAGCATCCAGTCAGCGTTTTCCCCCCCAAACAATCTGCGAATCAGAGGCACAGTAGGGCGGGTCTTCGCGGAATGCGGGTGGGAAAAATGTGTGTCTCTTTCAACCTGTCTAAGTCAGAGCGAGAATTAAAACAAAAACAAAAAAAATTCAGAGCGAGAGTTAACAGCTCATCTAGTTCCATCTGTACTGTAGCTAGTAGCCTAGTTTCACCTACCGGGGTGGCAACTGACACCCTAAAAATAGGCCTTGCCACCCCAGCTGCCACCCCAGTTGGCAGCTTTGTTTTGAAAGAAAAGTTGTGGCTCATCGGACATTTATGAGAGAAAGTCTCTAATGTCCGAGTGCAAGTGAATGCAGCACAAGATGCACGTCATGTAACCCCTCCCCCGGTCCTGGCGCGAGCGTGGACATACGATTTGGCGGCGATTTCATTTTTAACTGGACGGCGCAAAACGAGAAGCATTCGGACCCAAGCACTGAAGGAATGAGGTATTTGCGGTCTACAATGACAGAGAAGAGACTGTCAGTTTGGCTGTACTCAGCATTGAATCAAAACGCACTAAAGCTGTTGATCTTAATACGTTTGTGAGGCGTTTCGCTGAACAAGATGGTAATCGCCGCATTCAGCTGTAATAGACATGTCAACTTGATGCTCTGCTCACGGATGAGCATACACAACTATTAAGATGATGACCTTACGTGTGTAAATATATTTTTTTCTTTGAGGGGGTCTGCCCCCAAAAAACAGTTTTAAGTCCTGAGAAAGTCAAATAAGACGGTGTTTAAAACTACACTGCCCAGCCAAAAAAAAGTAACCACTTTGATTTAACTAGGCCGGTAGGTAAGGACTTTCCACTGGATAATAACTGCAGTATAACATAATGCATGACTGAAGTGATGGAGACCATGTTGAAGGCAAACAAAAAGAGGAAATAACAGGTCAAATCAAGCAAATCCCCCTCTCAGATTCCACAGCAACCAGAAGAACATAAATACTGGCTGGTGATTTGATTCATCAGCTTTGTGATGGAATAAAAAATGCAGTGCATTTCCTTAGCTGTGGGTGAGTCCACTGACACCACTGACAATGCTCAGTTGCTGGTGTTTGTGAGTTTTTATGATGAGGCAAAGGGGGAGTTTGTTGAAGATGTGTTGGGCCTGACGAACCTCAGTGGACACACAAGGGGGCAAGACATTTATAAAGCAATAATGGGAATGCTGAATGAAAGAGGGTGCAGCTGCCTTTATTCATAACTGTGCAGCTCTTACACTGCGACTCTGAGGGGTCAAGCACAGAAACAATAACAATGAAAACTGCTGCATACAGATTATTTTTGTTTTTGCAACCTCGTGTTAAGAATCTTGTTGCAATTGTTTAAAAGTTTGAATGACCGTAATAAACGGACCTTTGTCTTATTGAAACATTTATTTTGGACCTTTAAGATTTGTATTTGAGTACCCCTGGTTTAAACCATATAAACAATACACAAAACATAAAACAATAAATATATTAGTAGAAAACGTGTGAAAAACCGACCGTTCCTCACACACTCACTCAGAGAGAGAGAGAGAGAGAGAGAGAGAGAGAGAGAGAGAGAGAGATAGAGAGAGAGAGATAGATAGAGAGAGAGAGAGAGAGAGAGAGAGAGAGAGAGAGAGAGAGAGAGCGAGAGAGAGAGAGCGGAGAGCACCATGAGTGTTAATCAATAAAGTGGTCCGCTGTACTGTAGGCCTATGCCGCGAGTGCATGTCAGCTTCTTACGTTACATTGCAGTAAATGATACCCCCCTGCCTGGATGACTGATAGGAGCCTGTACATTTCAAATAAAGTGTGCAGCTCCTCCCCTTAATAAAAAAAAAAAGGAAAAGGTCTCACATTTCCCCATTTCCTCTTTCCACCCACAACCTTCTCTTCCCGTTATCACGCACACTGCTTCTCTGCAAGAACAGCTTAAACAAGGTGGGTCCCTTCATGTTTTTGTAAATATCCCTGCTTCTAGCATGCAGCTGAAGTCATTCTGCCTCTTTAAATCTGCTTAGCTGTAGAGTAAAATCTGTTTTGATTCTCTCTCTCCTCCCACAACCTAAAACAGTGTTGCAATGGAGGGAACTGAGTCAACAACAAGAGAGAGATCAACAGCAAAGGATGGGAACAAGGCAGCAGACCAAGAGGTGCTGATGTCCAGCAAACCGCTGCATCGCTTCGTCCAAAGAGAGCCCAGAGATGTTGGGGTAACAAATCACACAATCCAGAGCCACAGAAACTAATGTTACATGTTTACACAATGAGCAGCTGCAAACTCTTACTCTACTGTAGGCACTTGAATCCATCCTTCTCCTCCTCCCCAGATTGCCATTCTGATCTTTGGCTGTGCCGAGGTCATGATGGGATTTACCGCTGTCCGGGGAGAGTGATGCGATTGCTTCTTTTGGAATCTATCACTTTCCTTCTGGCAGGGAACTCTGGTACATGACATGTGGCACACACATGCATTGTCTTCACAATTACCATGTACATTTTTTCAAATGTCTCCTTGGTTTCTAAAGTTAAAAGTTCACAATTTTTGGAAATATACTTATATATATCCTGCTTCTCATCCCAACTCACGACAAAATAAGGAACAAGAATCAAATACGCCTATTTCCCGAGTTTTACTCAAGTTCAACCGTTATTAGCACTTGTGTCATATTGAAAATCATTTTTTTTAAAGATGTTAAGGGGACAGGCAAATAGACAGAGGATATTATTGTTTTCTCCACTTAAGTCTTTATTGTACTTCTGAAGGAAATTAAAAAAGACATCCAAAATGTCACTCCAGTTCAGGAAAGCTTTCTACAGCTACAATGGTGATAACATATAAACAAAGGTCATACAGTCATCTAAATGTTTCTTGGGGTGAATGTCAAAGTAAGAATTATTATTTGATTTGATTGTTCTCAGTTTCTTGTCTGTGGAAGCCTGTCTATCTACACTGAGTTACGTCCATCCAAGAAGATGGTAGGTATATTGTGATTTTATGATCTATAGTGGTTATAACTTTGTTTCGTCACTGTCAGTCTCTCCCTTTCTTTACTCAATAACTCATCCCATGTTGTTGAACCTCTCTCTTCCAGGTGACTGTGTGTTTGTCTATGTATGTGGTTTTCCCTTCTTGGGATCATTGTCTCTTTTGGCTACAGGATACGTCTTTTTCTTCTATTTAACGTACATTACGTTCTATCGGAGGGAGTCTTTAAGCCTGCAGAGATTGGTGAGTTACAGACATGTGGATCGACACTACATGGACACTTATCCGCATTGTATGAATAACTTCCTCTTTCTTCTGCTTCAGCACCAGATGTGTGCGATTGAAGCCCTTTTGTTCACTTGCTCTCTGTTTGTGGCGGGTCTTCTCATTTCTTGTGTGTCATCGCACGTTTGGCTCTCAAATCCACACGCACTCAGGTACAGAATTTGTCATCGTTTCTCCATCTGAAACATTCCTTACCACTGAGTGTGTAGGGGTTCACAAAACGAACTTTGAACAGCATTACATTTGCACATGAAAATGTTTAATGAAAACTTCAAATAAAACATGAAAGATAAAAAAGAATGAGAGAACTGGAGAAAGATATTCCTGGACGATCTCTTTGGCAACGAAGCAATGTCTATTTGTTTCCCCTATATTCCTGTTGGCAATGACCCGCCCTCTTGTGTTGTTAATCTTAATAATAATCATAATAATAATAATAATAATAAATGTATTTTGTAAGCGCTTTTACAGGTGCTCAAAGTCGCTTTACAGAGATAGTGAAAATAAAAGAACAACAAATAAATGTAACATGTAATGTAATAAATATAGTTAAAGTCAAATTAAAATCAAGCAATACAACAACAATCACACATTAAAAGAAAGCCAGATTGAAGAGGTGAGATTGTGTACGTTTTTTGAAGGTATGGTCAGTGCAGTCTCTGATGGGTTGTGGGAGTGAGTTCCAGATAGTAATCCCTCCCAAATTCATTCATATAACGTTAATGTCACTCAAAGAGTTGCTGACTGAATAAAAGTCCAGAATGTAATGTATTTCTATTTAACCAGAAAAGCCTAATTGAAATGATGCAGCATTAACAAAGAGTAAAGCGACACCATGAGACAGATATCACTTCAGTATTAAACAATTAAACAGACATGCAATAAAATAATAGAATCATGATTGATATAATGTCCAGTACACAAATAAATGAGTCCTAAAGACCATCTAAATGGGACCTCAAATACAAACAATACATCTGATCAGTTATATTCACTGTTACCGCCTCCTTCCCTAACACATGCACCCTCCGTATCTTCAACAGATTATTGTCCGGCACATCCCGGCTCCACCGACCGACACGACTGCAACTTAATCTCATCCTTGTGAAGTATTATTTTACGATAAATAACACTGGTTTTCCTGCAGCACACTAACTCCTGTACAGTATATCACATGTGAATGTTACACCCAGAGGCTCATCTTTAAGCCCCAGCTTCTTCTCTTAGCACAGTACATGTTACTGCAGTAGGAAATGCATTATAACCACATTTATTTGCTTTTGTTAAAGCTTGTTTTGGAATCTAAAAGATTCCTGTCTTCTCATGTGAGAAAAAAATGTGACATGCACTTAAGGGATTAAAGTAGCCACTATTATCTGAAGGAAAGCTTATATACACACGGCATCTATTGCACGTCTGTCCGTCCTGGGAGAGGGATCCCTCCTCTGTTGCTCTCCCTGAGGTTTCTCCCATTTTTTCCTTTAAACTGTGGGTTTTCTCCGGAAGTTTTTCCTTGTACGATGTGAGGGTCTAAGGATAGAGGGTGTCGTTTTTCTCACACTGATATTCTGAACAAACATTGCTGTTGTATTTGCTGTAAAGTATCTCTACTGTAGGCTATTTTTATTATATGTACAGCACTTTGGCTCGACCAAAAATCGTTTATAAATGTGCTATATAAATAAAACTTGATTTGATTTGATATATTTGATATACTGAGCTGCAAATATTTCTGCTTTGTGATTTAGTTGCAGCACAGCAGATCCACCTGAGATTGCCACTTTAGAAGAATTACAGTATGTTTTAATACATTTGGCTTTTTATATCCTCGGACACAAACATCCAGCATTATTTTTTTAAGCTTATGACTTCAATATAGTTCACCATTTTCATCTATACGACTTTGAAACATGTTCCCACTTTGGGCCTTTGAATGTGTGAAAAACAAATATTTTTGATTTAGGTTGAGCTTATATATGCACTAAATGTAATGTATATTGTCTTTGCTAAATAACAATCAAATGAAATGATTCTCAGGTTGCTGATTATATTACACACATTTGTATCTATACACTAACAGTGACCACTCCACACAGACAGTGCACTATTGATTCATCATCATTGTTTATCATAGAAAGATAACAGTCTGTACCACTTTGAACACATTGTTAGATGGCAAGCAAATAATTAATCGGGGTCTTTGTTTTAGTTTTGAGTAGGCTACAAGTTAAAAGCCTAGCATTGAATTCTGATGTACACATACATTTAAGATAAGTTAGAAGTGAACTAAATCTGAAGGAATTTACAACATATTGAATACAAATAAACTATGTGATCCTTTCACCATTGCCTAAAAGATTAAGAGTTTAGGTACAAAAGATGATCAAATAAGTAATATTAATCATTATGTTCCTATATTAGAAAATGTACAATTGAATACTTTTACTTACAGTTTAACATTTATATTTGTGTAACCAAACTGATCAGCATCAGCACATTTCAGTGTGCTTATTAGCTTCTGATCCTGTGTTGATTTTGAGATTAGATTACATAGAATTCTCTTAAAATGCTATCAGTATCAGTGTTTCCCACAGATATGAAATATACTTGGGGCGGGTGTGGCAAGGGGGGGGGTGCGCGAAAAAAAAAAAAAAGTTTTTAACAACCTTATTTATTGACCTTTTCATTCCGGTATAATCATTTTGCGCAAAGATGGCACTGTTTGTCAGAGCACTTCATCCTTCTGGGATTTCATGAAGAACAGCTCCAACGCCTGTGTGTATGGGAATGCCTCTGGTGCTGGTCCATTAACTGCCAGTGTTTCCCACAGATCTGAAATATACTTTGGGGGGTGGTGGTAAGCGGGGGGGGTTGAGGTGACGTGCAACAACATTAACCTTTCTGTTGGTCGCTTGTTAGCAGACCCTTCACGCGATGGCAGAGCGAACAGGTACAGGTACAGGCAGGGTCCATAATGATAGCCCTATAGTTTAAATCTACTACCCACACATGAACATATGGAAATGGGTTACTATTTAAAAAAATAAATGTATTTATTAATGTATTTAGGAACCCTATCCATGTGATTTTTAGTGGGGGTCGACCTCAAATCCTCTAGGGGGGTCCAGGGGCATGCCCCCCCGGTAAGATTTTATTTTTTATTTTGGAGTTAAATGCATCAATCTGGTGCACTTTGAGGGGAAAATAAAGAGACTAGATCTATGGAAACACCTATATTTAACAGAACTGTATACATTTCAATAATCATAAAATCAAGGCCATAACCAATAACATACCATTTCCAATATGAAAAAAACACTGAAACTTGTTTATTAATTTAGTTTTGGTTCATTTATAGTTGTGAGTGTGTCTGTGCTCCTGAATCAGCCTCTCCTGTCTCCCTCCTCTCCCCCCTCTCCATCCTCTCCCCCTGCTCCTCTTTGAGGCAGCAGCAAAGACTAGTTTTCTCTCAACAAGTTTTAAAAGTGTATCTTACCTTTTTTCACCTAGTTAACTTTTTATTTATTTATTCATGCATATTTTACTAATCACATTACATTTCATTTAGCTGACGCTTTTATCCAAAGCGACTTATAATGACCGATTACAGGGACATTCTCCCTGGAGTAACTAAGGGCTAAGTGCCTTACTCAAGGGCACACTAGTGGTGGTGTTCCTGGCGGGATTTGAACTCACAGCCTTCCGATCTTCAGCCCACCTCACTATCCATTAGACCAGGCATCCTCAAACTACGGACCCAGGTCCGGATCCGGACCGAACCACCACTGTCTCCGGACTCTGAGCAAATTATACTTTTCATATGTATTATCTCTCTGTATTATATGTGAGACATCGCCACAACGCATTCGCAACGAGTCAAATTCTCCGCTATGTCCACTGCAAACAGCGCTCTGCATGTCTGACTGTTCCACTGTCAACGCTTTGGTCCAATCATATTCAGCAACCAGTCCGCGTTTTTTCCCCCCAAACAATCTGCGAATCAGAGGCACAGTAGGGCGGGTCTTCGCGGACTGCGGGTGGGAAAAATGTGTGTGTCTCTTTCAACCTGTCTAAGTCAGAGCGAGAATTAAAAAAAAAAAATTCAGAGCGAGAGTTAACAGCTCATCTAGTTCCATCTGTACTGTAGCTAGTAGCCTAGTTTCTCCTACCGGGGTGGCAACTGACACCCTAAAAATAGGCCTTGCCACCCCAGCTGCCACCCCAGTTGGCAGCTTTGTTTTGAAAGAAAAGTTGTGGCTCATCGGACATTTATGAGAGAAAGTCTCTAATGTCCGAGTGCAAGTGAATGCAGCACAAGATGCACGTCATGTAACCCCTCCCCCGGTCCTGGCGCGAGCGTGGACATACGATTGGCGGCGATTTCATTTTGAACTGGACGGCGCAAAACGAGAAGCATTCGGACCCAAGCACTGAAGGAATGAGGTATTTGCGGTCTACACTGACAGAGAAGAGACTGTCAGTTTGGCTGTACTCAGCATTGAATCAAAACGCACTGAAGCTGTGATCTTAATACGTTTGTGAGGCGTTTTGCTGAACAAAATGGTAATCGCCGCATTCAGCTGTAATAGACATGTCAACTTGATGCTCTGCTCACGGATGAGCATACAAAACTATTAAGATGATGACCTTACGTGTGTAAATATATTTTTTTCTTTGAGGGGGTCTGCCCCCAAAAAACTGTTTTAAGTCCTGAGAAAGTCAAATAAGACGGTGTGTAAAACTACACTGCCCAGCCAAAAAAAAGTAACCACTTTGATTTAACTAAGCCAGTAGGTAAGGACTTTCCACTGGATAATAACTGCAGTATAAAATAATGCATGACTGAAGTGATGGAGACCATGTTGAAGGCAAACAAAAAGAGGAAATAACAGGTAAAATCAAGCAAATCCCCCTCTCAGATTCCACAGCAACCAGAAGAACAGAAATACTGGCTGGTGATTTGATTAATCAGCTTTGTGATGGAATAACAAATGCACAGTGCATTTCCTTAGCTGTGGGTGAGTCCACTGACACCACTGACAATGCTCAGTTGCTGGTGTTTGTGAGTTGTTATGATGAGGCAAAGGGGGAGTTTGTTGAAGATGTGTTGGGCCTGACGAACCTCAGTGGACGCACAAGGGGGAATACATTTATAAAGCAATAATGGGAATGCTGAATGAAAGAGGGTGCAGCTGCCTTTATTCATAACTGTGCAGCTCTTACACTGCGACTCTGAGGGGTCAAGCACAGACACAATAACAATGAAAACTGCTGCATATACAGATTATTTTTGTTTTTGCAACCTCGTGTTAAGAATCTTGTTGCAATTGTTTAAAAGTTTGAATGACCGTAATAAACGGACCTTTGTCTTATTGAAACATTTATTTTGGACCTTTAAGATTTGTATTTGAGTACCCCTGCATTAGACCAATCACTACCCTCTCAAATGGAAATATGTGTTTACATAAATGGTGACCACACCGTTTGAGACCCACTGAGAACTTAGACTAAGTTAACTATCTAAACACTCAGAGAGTGCTTTACCTCACCTGAGCTGAGGTTATCCCGAGCTTGAATGACACACAGAGACCAATCAAGGGCTTTGATTATGATCTGTATGACAGTGGCCATGTCGGCAGGCCACATCATGTGGACAGCCAGTCACCCTGTGTGAGGCAGGCCACTTAACAGGCCAGAAGGAGGCGAGATCAGAGCAAGGGAGCGAGGGATCATTGTCTACAAGTTAATCGATCGCAGATGGCGTCGTGGTCACGGACGAATAAAAAAAAAAAAAGTATAAATAAATGGGTCGCGAAATATACTTGGGCGGCCGTTAATATACCTGGGCGGCCCGCCCAAGTATAGTCTATGTGTGGGAAACCCTGAGTATATCCCCATGAATGTTGTGTTTGTTGCACATTGTGGCTGCCTCATTGTCCCTCTGGGCCTGTACTAAGTAATGCATCCATGGTCACATCAACTGAGTTTAATGACATTGTTGACATTTTTCTGTGTCCTCCCTGCAGGCAGGAGAATAGTATGCATCTTCTGGTTGGTCTCCTCAGAAATAGTATAGCGATATGCTGTAAAATTATGTGAAGCATGAATAAAACTACACATCTTCAGATGTTGTACATACATAAGTGTCCTACACTAATAATACAAAGTTATTATGGCTGTGTGTACCTTGTGTGCACCGCCTAGTGGTTAAAGCACGTTATTGAATTATTGTTTTTATGTGTTATATTTGATTAAAAAAATATTAACAGTACATACTTTCATAGGGGGAAAGTAGAAGGTCTGTGATAGAAATATAGAATATAAAAAATCAAGAAGATACTATAAGTGATCTCTACAATAAAACAGTTTAGTGCAGGATGTACGAAGATATTAATAGGAGGAGGTGCAAAAGAGAAAAACGAATTAACCTTTATTTAAACATTAAATAATACTTTAGATTAAGGTCTTCTTTTAAATAAGAAAAAAAGCTTTGGGGGTATCTACAGATAAATATTAAGCCTGACAAAGCACTTAACGTCTAATATATTGCTTTCCTGCAATGTTAACTATGTTGAAGCATTTATTTTAACTGATATTATACATATGAATTATACTCTTATGTATGTAGATAGTATAATAAATGTGCAGAATATGACAGTTTAATGGTGGAGGTATAGACACATATAGGCAAGGCAAGGCAAGGCAAGTTTATTTATATAGCACTTTCCAACACAAGGCAATTCAAAGTGCTTTACAAAAAATGAAAGAGATTAAGAAAATGGCATTTAAATCAGTCATTA